GTACCTTACTAGCTTGTTTTGTTTGTATGATCGCCATTGTGGAAAACTACTTGTGAAAATTAAACAGCTAGAAGAGCGAGGTGCGCGATAACGTTGGGAACCCTTTTACCACTTTGATCCCCGCTCTTTTTCGCACTCATGTCCCTCCATTGTCGCACTAACATGTCCCTTGTGTTTTCCACTTCCTCACCGCCTCAGCCATATCTAGAACCACAGCTAGCTCATGACCATGGTTCAAATATTGGGCATAAATCAAAAATATCTGTGCCACACCTGCGATAAGCTCAATGCGACACACTGCTGCGGGAGTATAACCAGCCCTTAAGTCTAAAATTCAGTTCAGTTTATTTCTATAGCGCCAATTCACAACACATGTCATCTCAAGGCACTTTACAGTTCATCAGATCATAAAGTCAGATTGATTCAAAGTTTTCTATCTAAGGAAAACCAGTTGATTGCATCGACTCATTGACTCAATGCTAAGCCTCAGTTATGACTTCAAACTTTGGTGGGATTCAGAGAATCGTCGCAGCTTGGTGCTATGTTGATGACATCAATGCCTGCATCTTTGGGGGAGTGGTGGCCTAGTGGTTAGGGCATAGGGCCCCAACCACACCACCACAGACTGTCACTCTGGGTCCCTCAGCAAAGACCCTTAACCTCACACAGCTCCCAGGGTGCCGCAAATGGCAGCCCAAGGGGATGGGTTAAATGCAGAGAGTGAATTTCATTGTGCTGTACTTGTGACAGTGTAATGAAAATAAAATGCTGAAAAAAAATAAAAAAATCTTGGTACAGTCCTCCTGAGAGAGTGGTCTGGTCTCTCCGTCTCTCAAAAAGGCCTTTAATATTTCCTAACCAGGAACAGGAAGGTCCTGATTGCGACAGACGGGACCCAGATGGGCAGCGGGGTCTTCAATTAAGTGCCAGCTCTTCAAAATCATAAACAGCATCCCTAGCTTTTGCTTCAGACCATCGATTTAGTTTAGTTTGAACAACTGTTGCATAAAAGCAAAAAATGTTAAAATTCCACAGAGAAAACTTTGACACACTCACTGAAACACTCGTTAACTCACTCGGTGAGGTAAAATGTGCCGACATATATCACTTGTACTTAACTACAGTAGTCAGCAATGGTGAGTGTCCAGCCACCTTCTGATTGAGCCGCCTTATAAGAAAAAACAGGCTGACTTCAGCTGCCTATGACCTGTTTCCCCCATCACTCCTATACCTCAATCTAACACCTCGCTCCCAGGCCTGTTCTGAGCTGAACGTCTATAATGTTTGAGCCATTTGATTCAGGCGTGTAGAAGAAGATAGAAAATGACGGGGTGGATCTTTAATGGTAGACCTCTCTAAGAAAGTAAGGCAAAGGTTAATTAAAATTCCCTGCTGTCTCTGTGCCATCACCCATCCTCCACTCCTCTATCACAGCCAGAGTGTAGTTCCCTCTACAAAGCACCCCGGGGCATTCTGTCTATGTTTGCATGTCTCTTTGTCTCAGCCAGGCCTTATCTCTGTTAGCGCATGTGTGTTCGTGCCTACTGATAAGCATACGCTTTCAGCTGAATAGCTGTTAATTTGTCCATGTTTACATCCACATGCTATATATATGCCTCTGCTTCTTCATGTGGACAATTCATACTGAGATACCACTATCCTCTGGTCTGGTAACCATGAAAGTTTAAACATAGACACAGTGAGGAGAATTGTTTGTTTTGACAGTGCTGTAACGAGGCTATTAGTATCTGATAAGATGTTGACCTTTTTTAACCTCCCACAGAAGAATTTAAATCATATATATGATCTCCTGCTCACTAAAACAATTTATCCCCCTTTAAAGACAAAAAGGCATATTGTAATAAACTAGATAAGCTCTTTTAAAACCACACAATGTCTAGATCTGCTAAATAAATGTGAATACAGTCGTAATACCAAAGATATAATACCACGGCTGCAACACACCCATTGAAAGTAAAACATAGAGTGTGACATGAAGCAAAAACTGACTTTGAGTAGCAATTAGCATAGAACCATATACACATTGTTTTTTTTTTAAATGGAGCCTAGGTGGAAGTTCCACTGAAGAAACTGATATCTCTCCTACATCCACCTACGACACAGCCAATCAGCTTTGTCGTCATGCCCTCAAAACCCCGCCCACTTTGCATCCAGAAATTCATAACACACCTCTGCGTTGTGATTGGCCCGCCAAATTTAGGGCCTGGGGCGGGTGGGGCTAGTTTACTAGGCTATAGGAACAAAGTATTTCTACTTTTATTTGACACCTCTGTACACATGTGTGTGTTAATGTGTATTGAATCATATATTCATTTATTCAGATTTATATTTTACCTTTTGTAACAAAACAAAAAAAAAAACATTGGGATTCACAAAAAAACTAAACACATAACAACAATAAAACACATAATTAATCCTTATAGGACAAGTTACCGTTTCTAATCACTTGCATACCCCTTGAAAATGGATTCCCACCTATCCCTCAGTGAGGTCTAGAAGCACAAGATCTATATCCAGCCATTCAGCAAAGATCCTGCCCCATGGCCGTACATCTTATTTTGGTGTTTGACCAACTAGATGAGCCCTTGAATTATATATAACCTGCTGTCGATTAAGTTGAAATAAAGTTAACAAGTCAATCAATGGCATAACGACACAACAATAGGCCCGTAAGCAACATTATCTGGGTGGGCCCCATATGAAGTACAACACCCCACCCCCCCAACCATCTAATGAACTACACACAGTTATTAACATAGTAATTAAAAGTACCACTGTCTGCTTTGCTATTGGTGTCGTGTTTAAATGCCTCACTATCATGTTGAAATCTGGCACGTGTCGCGGTATAAATAAGGTCCGGTCAGACAGACGGGCATCAGGTGGGTAAAATAGGAATTTTTCACACCATTATGTCTGCAAAGAGACGTCCTAGTCCACAATTGCATAGGGGGCCTACCAGGAGTCAGTGACGGGGCCCCTGAGAGGTCGGCGGCCCCTAAACAACTGCAGTCTCTGCTTGCAGATATTTAAAAGCTAATTGAAACGTTAAAAAGTAAAGTTCAAAAGTTAATAAGGCTAGTTAACTAGGCTTATTAACTTTTGAACTTTACTTTTTAAAGATTAGTTAACAGTTTACAGTATAAAGATTAGTTAACAATTATATTTAGGTTTATAAACTAAAACATTTTTGTGCCAGTATCAGCATTAATGCCTCTAAGGTTATGTTGTACCAAAAAAATGTGTTTCTTTCACTCTCAGTGTGTTTTTTTTAATGAATTTCTTATAGTAGCCCTTTAAATATATATATATATATATATATATATATATATATATATATATATATATATATATATATATATACAGAGATGGCAAAAAGTACTCACTTTCCGTACTTGTGTAAAAGTTCAGATAATTGTGTTAAAAATACTCTGGTAAAAGTGGAAGTACTGATTAAACTTCTTTACTCAAGTAAAAGTAACAAAGTACAGGCTT